TCACCCATTTCCATTTGCTTTTTGAGATTTTTGTTTTAAAACTACATCACAATTTATGGGCACTGCTTTTGTATTCAACAGTTATACTAGGTACTACTCCTACTGAGCTGAAAGGAAATACGTTAATATCTTTTTCTCTCTCCCTAAGACTACACAGAGCAGTTTTTAAAGGATTCACAACTTCAAAACAGTGCAGAATGTCTTGAAAGCCTCACGCTTTTTATGAATGACAGAGTTCAATTGTACCAGACAAAAGTATAAAAGTTTTATACACATATTTTGGGATTGGTGAGATTTTAAGCTCATATTGATCAAAGTCACATTAAATTTCTGAGGTCTGTAGACCGATTTACAGGGGTAAAGCAGCAGTTCTGCCAAGAACAATTTCCAAACATTCTGTCTGGCATCAGCTATTCTTTTATGTTCGAAGCCAAGACAAAAATAGCAGTGGCAAGGAAGGTAGAGTAAATCCTATCTAAGTTACTTTTTCCTCCTCAACGTTGCACATTGTAATTTTATTGTGCGCTTCAGCTCTTGTGAAAATATCAGGACATAAAAAAAAAAGAGAAGAAAGTCTGATTACATGCCAATTTACATAAATTTAGAAAATCAACAGTTTTATGGAAATGAGTGGAATCTCATCATTAATTTGGAACCAGATTGAGCAAAATGTCAGTTCTGAATGGTCTTCAACATGCCTTTTTTGAAAACACCTTCCCTATTCCTGAGCTATAAGAATACTTCTCAGCTGTTTCCTGTAAATGTTATTTCTGAGATTTCTTTATAAAATTTCTTATAAGAAATCACATGGCATGATTTTATCTTATCTGTACCTTATCTTTACCTCTGCCAGTGGTATTAGATGCTGAACTATTTTTAACCAGTTCCACTGAAATTTTCCAGCCCATGACATCAGTCACTACTACAATAGTCACACAGAAACGTTGAATAACCAACAGATCAATTGCGGGTGTCTTCTCTTTGTTGTCTTCAAAATAATATTCTGTATATTATTTCTCTTTGAAGAGAGAAAGAATTGGAAAAGAAATTGGGAAGAATCCTCTTTAGCCAGTTCCATTTCATCAGAAGTATATCAGAAACTTCTTGCATTAAGAAGTCACATGTCAAATTTCCTTGCAGGCTTGAGGTAGAGAAGTGTCAAATCCAAATGTCGTCTCCTTGTCATGCCTTACTATGGTTACTCTAGAGAGGGTTATTTTACAACATCACACACTGTGAAAATTATTCAGCACTTGCAGAATGGAAATGAATGCTTTTATACACCCATATATTCATTGCTAAGTATCAAACCCTAATATTCAGTGCTATATATCAACATTTCCTTGAAGGCTGTGCCAGTCCAGAATTTTAAAGACACTTGGAAATATAAACACATATATATATACACTTACATGTCTAAGTCTACTCGTTACTTCTTTAGAAGTACACTGTAACTATATCACATACTGAAACTTCATCTTGAAACCTTTATCATTTATCAGAACCCACTGTGCTACACTGACTACAAAAAGGATAAAACAACAGTATCTGCCAAAGAGCTTATGATCTGGCGTTGACATCAATTGGTTACCTGAGAGTTATACCTTTTATAATCCTATCTCTTAAATGTTTCCTGTTGCATGGAGAACATCTTTGCTTTTACTCAAGAGCCATTTCAAGTTCCAATGCATGTAAATTTTGTGTTACCCGCCTTTGTCTGGACTGCCACACAAAACTGTCCAAGCTGTACAGCTACCCACACATAGAACAGGGGCACAGCTGATCCTGACAAGATGCATAGGGCTGTCTGGGCTGCCAGTCACCCTCAGAGCTGCCACTGACAGCCCTGGGAGCTGCCAGAGATAAGACATTCCTAGGAGGGGCTAAAAGTTCTTCTCTTTATTCTCAGGTATGGCAAACAAAAACAGTGTGCATGTACGAAGTAAAAGAAAGCTGTTCAAGGGGGTGATAAAGGCTAGTTTGTTATCCTTGATGGAAAAAAAAAAAAAGCTGCTGTTATCGAACTTGATCAGCTGGTTTATATCTGTGTTGGCTTCAGTGACTTTAATAAAACTACACAGATTAATGTCCAGTGAGAACCCATTTCCAAAATCACAAAGTTATTAAAAACAGGATGCATGAACAATATTAACTTAATAACTTTCTACTGCCAAAATTCTATCAGCTAAAATTATATTTTGTGGGTTTCCCAGTATTTTGGTTTGCCTTCTTGAACAGAAAGAGCATTTTGGACATAAAGAATTCAGCTCAAGGTGAGTCTCTGCTGCTTCGTGTACATCAGGAAGTAGCTTTTTAATTAAAATAAGGTTACTTGCAGAGCAAACAGCATGAGTAAGAACAGGAGATGTTAATCTTCTAGATTTTAATGTGAAATACTACAGGCTTGGGGGAAGGGACTTCCACTCTACCTTACAACCTTCAGCCATGGCTGCTCAAGTTCCTAGGTTTGCTAGAAATTAGATCATTTAAATACAGAATAGGATACTTCTAAATTACTCAAATACAGCTGTTAAACAGAACCTTAAGCTTTTTTTTACTGATGTTTGAGGGATATTAACTGAACCTCCACCAAGTATAAAGAGAATATAAATTCTTGATAAAACAAGTGTTCGAATTTATTACAATTTTCAATATTTTACCACACTAACTCTGAAAAATGACCTCTAAGTTTCCATTTCTGCCTTCCAGTTGGCTTTACTTTGATATACATGTTAGTATCTCCCTCTGGTGGTTTTCTGAGGAATAATATTGATCAGAAATCCCACCAGTGCACAAGGTCATGAATTTTCTTCTCTTTAGATGAGCAGTTCTCATGTCAGTAGCACAGCACTGCAAACTCTCACACCTTTAAATGCAACACAGTCTAAAATGCCAAGGCTTTCTTTGTGAACCCCAGAGTCTGAACTAGGTGAACACACAGGACTTCATGTCTCCATCTATTCCATTAGAAGAAAAACCCCACCTTCTGCTGTAATTAAGCAATTAATACGTTTAGGTTGCAAAAAAACCCACAAAAAACGACTTTACTCAATTCATAGTTTAACCAAATTGATGCACACAATTACCTTCCATCATTAACATTTGCGTCAATTTGAATGCAGTGAAAACTCCTTACTTTTCTCAATAGCAACATTTACCCTTACACAGAGCACTCATCCTTGCTATCCCTAAGTACAGCTTTATTTTCACAGATATTATAGTCTCTTCTAATTACTTTGTACCTTTGTTTGTCTCCGTGAAGAAAACTTATTTCTTCTTTTTCATTTTAACAGGGATGAGCGAAAAATGTTTCAAAGGGAACAGCACTGACTCAGCTGGCACATGTGCAAACCCAAAGGGCCAACCACAGAAACCCAACAGATTCCCGTGTCTCTGTATTTGCTACGGGAGAGACCCTTGCGTTCTGTAACTGTGATTTATAAGGCTCCAGACAGGGGTTTTTTCATATTTAATTTCACTTAAGATCGCAATAGTAATTTGCTCCAGATTGTTGCTTTTGGGACTCACTTCATATTGTTTTCTATTGTATGCTTAGTAATTAAAAAAGCCTGCTAATTTTTAAAGCCAAGAACAAAACAAAAAATTAGAGAAAGTAACTGACCATCCACACCACATGAAAACTTGCAGAAAAATGAAGATAGGAGCGGACGTCATGGCAGAGGCACGACTCGTTGTGCATATAGGCTGATCCTATTAATAACGGGCAAAGTAGCAAGTAGAGGAAAGGAAAGAAAACACAGAAAAAAAGACATACAAGATGAGATATCATGCAGATTGCTTGCAGTTAGCAGAGTTAATGTGAAAGCATCCACCCAAGAGCAAGAGATTGACAGCAAATTTTGCAAATAAACTTAACCAAAATAATCCACTGTTACAAAACATGACTTACACACTGATTAGCACATCGAGCTAGTGAGCAAGAGTTGTACTTTCACACACAATCCTGTCAAGAAGATATGGAATATTGCCACCGGCCAAATAGCTTTTGGATGGTTTTTCAACTTTGTTTAACCTTTGTTGCCCAGTAAAAGACTTCTGTTTTATAATAAAATTTTGTTACTAGAAAAATGCATTGAATACCAACTGTCTGGACTTATTTAACACTACTGACAACTCAGTAATTGTGGCTCATTAAAGAAAAGCAGAGAAAATACTGGAACAAAACTTGGTATACAGCAGTTATAACCAACTAACAGCATTGATTTGGGACAATCTTTCCTTTGCAGAAATGGGATGAGGCATGAGAAACGTATATTGAAAATATTTTATATGATGACAGGTACTTCACTGTTGAGGACTTTTTTGTCTTGAAATCTGTTCTTAACAATTTGAATTCATCATATTCTCTTTGATACAATATTTTGAAAGGTAAGACAGAGATTATATTCAATATAAATTATATATCTGGAATAGTTATCATTTTTCTTCTCAAAAACTGTAATGTATACAGTACAGGGAGTAGTAAACAGCATAGTTTTGCTGATTTCAATACAGTAATGCAGTTTTATACCTGGTAAGAATATGACCCACGGTCTAAGAGGATCAACATCCTAAACCAGATGTAATGCTTTTAATCATTTAACAACACCTTAAATAATATTTGGAAACACTAATATAACAATACTACTTCTAAGCCAGGATTATTATCTATTTGCGAAAGCCACAGAACAACTGAATCTCACAGCGCCTTACAGAGACCATCAGTTTTATGCTCGTTGATGTATATTTTTTTTTAGTGGGAATCATGTGTGAAAGTGCAATGGTTATAGGAAAGGCAGATAAGAAAGCAGCTGTTAATTTTATGTTAATCATGGCATACTTGAAATAGAGTGACTATGGTCTAGAGTGAACAGTATGTTTAGTGATAGATAAGTTACCAGGCACCAAGGTACATTTGAACATTGTTTTCACAGCTTTTCTAAAACAGCTCTACAATTGTTTTTAAAGATAGTCCTAAAGTCTTACAAGTTCAGTTTTACCTGTTTGGCTTCATCAAAACAGACATCAGGACCCTTTCTGTATCTAGGTTGTTTGACCATTTCGCAAGGATTTGGCCCTTCATCTGTTTCTCTGGTTAAGGACCATGACCGGTTTTTGTGCATCATACATTAGCAGGATTAACATTCTGGTTTTACTTTGATGGGAGAAGTTTTATGCTAATTCAGACAGTACTGAAATAAACATCAACAGTCACAATTCTTTGTTTAAATGAAAGAAAACCAAGACCCAACCCTCCAGATAAATTGAAATCAAATGCCCTTTTTTTTTACATTGCTTAAATCAATAAAATATACACCCTGCATGACTTTTTAGAACCAGTACTTCCAGAACTGTACACAAAAAAAAAATAAAAGCCGAGGCTTTTTAAGATTTTCTGTATTGCTTTTATTACTTTTACATAAATATTACAGAAGATATTTGCTAAAGTAGTAAGCTTTCAGTGCTGCTGATTGGCTATGGCATATGTTACCACTGAGTTATTCTGCTAAAATGAAGATATGCAGTAAAAGCTAGGAAGCCTGTTTGGAAAAATAATGCTACATACAGGCTGAAAATCGCAGTGGAGGCCTATAAGAAATACTGGTTTTATTATGTGTACATCTATATTACTCCAAATATCATAGACAAGATCATCCCACTGTAGCCTTTGATAGCAAATGACAGAAAACCTAATCAGATCTCATTAGCATTTCAGTGATGGAGACAGAGAAAATGCTGTCCAAACTAGCAACAGAACAGCAGGATAGAAATGGGAGCACTACATGCTATTAATTAGCTAACTGTAGCGTGAGGTAATGCTTTAGCTTATGTGTCTGAAATCTGTAATTGCTGATATGTAAGCGTAAATACTATCTTCACATTTGCCACAGGCTAACAAGGGACGCAAGACACTGCAGCATAATTGAAAGGCACGGATACGGTAAACTGCAAAACCGCCTTCTGTTGAAACCTACTTATATTACCATTCAGCAAGCTTTTTCAATTCCACTGTTGGCAGTACAGATATTAGAGCCAAGCTAGAGCACCAAAACTTCACTTCTTTTAGTAGCTCTAACCTATACTTGCAGCAATCCTGTTCATGCACTGCTGTGGAGTGCTACAGCAGCTTCATGGCAATGGGTGGATATGCCCAATGGAAGACGAGGCAAGAGGATGGGGAATTCAGTTCTACAGGTCTACATCCGTCTTCACTCAGATGTTATCAGACTCACCTCCTCTTTACTCTGCCGGGGCCCAGCTGAAAGGGAAGTCAAAACGTAGAAATATTCTAAAGACTGTGTGCACAAGCAAAGCCATACCAGCCAGAAGGAAGTGAAGTCTAATAACAACCATCTGAATAGCACCCAAAGGTCATTCTGCTTGCTTGTGTGATGTTATGCTACATCTGCATTTCACAATGTACCTTAGCTGTAGAACAGAGAAAATAGCTTAGTACTCCATAGTTGGAACAAAAATAAAATAGTTCATTTAGTCAATAGAAGCCCACCCAGCTGCTCTGGCTGCCATTTGAGGTCGTTTACTGCTTTCTAGAAGGTTGAGGCCCCACGGGGAAATGCAAGTAATATGCCCACTTCTCATCAAACATGCTTCATTTTCTATAGCGAGTCCTGTCTATAAATTCAGACAGTGGCAACAGTTAATCAAACTGTCATGGCCTGAAGCCAATTAGAATATTAGACTGTACTTACATAGTTCTGTGATGACATGGATATTACTTCTACCTGATGTAACTTCCTTTTCAGCCCAAGAGTAGATGGAATTCCAGTTTTATTAATGTGGCAGTGAACGCATTGCTTGTGCCAAAGAAACCCAGTCATCTCTACCCACCATCTGCTTTTCTTTCATGAATGGGAGAGACTGTCTCAACTAACTTCCTGACATGAAGAAAGGTATTACTAATTGTTTTCCATATTCTGTCATAATAATCCAAATTATGATTTGATTTACCATCTCTAGTATGCTGTCCTCAAGCACATATAGCAGAGAAGAACTGAGGTGAATTTCTCCTGGACTGGAATTACTATATGTTAGTTTTATTGTGTTTCTGTCACCACCACCTACATGTATCTACTGGAGTGAACAGGCTAGAGGCATAGAGATTGGCATGAAGGTAGTTGTAAATTAGAATAACCTTTCACATGCTTTTAATTTTAATGCATGTGTTGCCAGGAGTCTGCTTAGCATGTATGCCATCCTATGTCTCCAGCCAGCTCTGAAGAAATTCTGTGATAGCAGCTGGATAAACTCCACCCTTCAGTGCTTAAAGCAGTTTCCACAAGGTGTAAGCAGTTCTCATTGGCACTGAGCACACGCTAAAGTGCCTCCATCACTTTCCCATGGCATTGCAGGATTCAGGGCAGCATCCTAACTTTTCATGACCAAACATTCTTATCTTGGTGTTGCCCTTATTTGTTATTTGTCTAGACAGACAAACCCTCCCTTGTATTTGCTAAAGGCTAGACAAACGCAGAACTCTTATGGTCCCCTTGCATCTTCTGTGCTCCAGATGCCCACGGCCCTTAGTGGTCCTTCACTGAACTTCCTCCAGTACGTCAGTGTGGTACTGGGGAGGCCTAAACTGTGCACAGCACTCCAGGTGTGATCTCACCAGTGCTGAAGAGATGAGACAGATCAATTCTTCCAACCTGCTGACTGCAATCTTGCTAACATAGCCGGGACATGACCAGCCCTCTTTATCGTAAGGCCCAGTGCCAACTGATGTCCAACTTCTTGTCCATCATGATCCTCAAGTCCTTTTCTGCAAAGCTGTTTCAGGTCAGCCTGCCCCCAGCCTGTCTAGCTGCACGTCATTATTCTGTCCTGGATCCAAGACTTTGCATCTGTCTCTTGGAAAATTCATTAAGTTCCTGTGAGCCCATTTCTGTTTAGGTCCTCACAGATAACAGCTTTGCTCTCTGCCTCAATGACTGCTGCCTCAGATGATTTGTGATACCATCCACAAATACCTGCTGCTTCAAGTACTCCAATGGCAAGCATGCTACTAATATGTACATAAACAGGCCATGTTTTTCCAAATATATTCCAGTAGATCATGGCCAAAAATCAATCCACACTATTAAATAATGTGATTTTAAAGGATACCCGGCTTCTCCGCTTGCATCAGTGGCTTTGGGTCACAGGAGCGGCACAGCAGTTGGCTGTCACTAATAATGAATACTAGATTGGTGTTTGAAATCTTCTCTGCATGATAAAGCCTGGAAAAAAAGCCAACAAAAACATATGTTTAAATGAAGCAAGGAAATCCGTATTTGAGAAGGACACACAGTATTAGGATAAAAAGTAATTGAGCTTCACAAATTCAGTCTGCCTGCCACTGTTTATCTTTTCCATTAGTGAACAGCAAGAAACATTTATAATAATTTTTGTAATCTTTTTGACATTTCCATGGCTCCCCCTTTCATCTAGACTTATTAGTGGAAAAAATGGAAGAGCATAGAATGACTTTAACTGAGTTAACAGCTAGCTCTGCTCTGCTACAGCAGTAGCTGTAGTGAGAAATAAAATCAGTTTAGCATGAACTCTTCTCCTAACAACAGTGAGAAAACCCCCAGCCGCAAAAACAAACAAAGAAAACCCCAACACATAAACCTGTCTGTAAGAAGGGAGAGAAAAGGTTTAGGATATGTATGTTCTGCATTGGATATATATTTGTTGTATTTTTATGTACATATAATTTCACAAAAGGCCTTTAAGTTAGTAGGGTCATTTTCCATCTACAGATAATTGAATAGGCAGCATTATACCTTTAAGCTATGGACACTATACTTCATGCCTTAGATACTAAAGGTAAGGTTATTTCTGGATTTTTCAAGAATAATTTTCGTGTACAATTTAAATTTACTGGAGAGGCAGACAAACCTTTGAAAAAGCAGAGAAAAAAATCTTAATATTTCTAAGTCCTTAATAAAATGTATTCTACTTGTCAAAGATAGGTAAATTCAGAACAATCTAACAGGTTAATTGCTTTTAGTGGATTCTAAGTACATATATAATACATATAAAGTATATGTATACTGCATATAACACATATACAATACATATAAAGTATATGTATTATCTATGTGTATAACACATATAAAATAACAAGCAGGTCTTTCCATACAGGTAGTTACCACTCTACACAAGGAGATTTTTTATTACTTAGGTGTGAATTGATCGGATTATTTCTGAAATTTCAGATTATGAGTTCGTACCACTGATTGGGTACAATAAGAGGAAAAAATACCTATTAATTAAATAGCTCTGATGTTGTGATTGCATATGTGGTTGTTTTAACCAGCGTAAATTGTCCTGTCATACTCATTCCCACACTGTAGCACTATTTTTGCAGTATTAGCATAATAAATCCTGTAGTCTTTCAGAAAATTGAAATAAAGTCTTCTGAAAACTCTCTAGATTAAAAAAAAAAACCCACAATCAAATACCAGACCAAAAAAACCTACAAAAAACAAAATAAAAATAATAACAAAACAGCTTAATGAGTTCTCTGCACAACCAAATACCACACACACACATACTAGCAACAGGGAGGATGAAGTATGGAAGTGGGAAAAAGTGGCTGGGTGTTTTGGCTTTTTCACCATTCTCCATTCTCTGTCTTTTTTTTCTGGCTTGAAATATGTTTTCAAGGACTTTGAAATCTGACCGTAAGTTTTAAGTTCTAAGACATTTTCAGAAATTCCTAATGTATGTAAACTTTCAACTCAGCAGGCTTTTTTTTTTTTTTATGAAACACAAAATTAGGTCCAAGTTGCTGTTTCTGAAGTATCCAAATTTTTTAACATAACATTAAACGTCATCTTGAATAGGCACATGGAGCCTGAAGGGTAACTCTTTAATCACAAAAACCCCCAAAACTTCTTTGCTTAATAAGACCCACAGCTCTTAAGTCATCAGCACTATTGATTAGAAGGTAAATTTGAAGATAAATTGCATAATCTTCTTGCCCATCAAAAATTCCAATACATAACCAGATTAAAGAAAAAAATCTTCTTCTGAATATTGCAAAGCGCCTTGAAATTCAGGTAATAAATTAGAAGACAACAAATTGTAACAGGAATAGGAATACAATTTTAATGGAGCGTATACAGACTACAAAACAAAAATTAAGACAAAAATATATCCATAATTCTTCAATTGCTACAATTAATTTTAAACAAATACAAAGAGAATGCGATTTATCATTTTACTGTCTATATGCTTCTCTGTCTTGGTTATGTAAGTTTAGTGTAATTAATTAAAAATGTATTTTTTATTCTTATAATAGTGTGATTATCTTTTATAAAATAAATTACTATCCAGAAGTTATTATTTCAATTGAAGAAAATTTACCTGGAGCAGTTTATACAGTCTACAATCCCACTAAAAGATTTATCATCATTTTCAAAGAAATACTGAGTTTGCTCAGTGATACAGCTTGTTTTAGGCAGGGCGGCACCAAAATCATCATCTTCCATATCAGCTGACGGAAAGAAGAAAATAAATAAATAAACAACAACATTTTAAAGTCACAGACACAATGGGGAGATCCAGATATGGCCCCCAGCCTAAATTCTTACCTTCTACTTCACTCAAAGTTGACTCTTTAACATTCTCTTGACTTACCTGCCTCAAGAAAACGTGGAAAAGTCAAGCTCAAAAACAGCTGCTGTAAGATAGACCTGAACACAGAAAGATAATACATATTTGTTAAAGGTTTTTTGTCTTCTTTGTATTTTACTTGGTCCTTAAAAATTACTTAAATAAGAGTAATTAACAACAGAATCATCAGGGCTAAATATGCTTTTGCCAATTATTAAAGCCGGGTCTCTTTAAACATTACAGTCTGACTCTGGTTTTCTTTCCACGCTTTCTTCCAGGTCTTCTTTCACACTCATCTTTAATTCTGCTGTTGAGATTGGCTACCACGTGCACCCATAACTCACATAGTGGAAATGTTGTCATGCCATCCATGCCCTGCTTTTATACGTCTGCAGGAGGTGGCAGAGACATGTTGGTGCTTCTCTGACACTTCAACCAACCACAATTCCTTTTGAACACTCTCAGGGAAAATACTCCTGATTTAGATACTTTACACTGATTAAGGCTCATTAAATTGCTGAGGAGGAGATGAACACTGGAATATTACAAGTATATTATAAAAAATTATTACTGTAGTTGTTGACTTTTAAAACGATTTCTATTCCTGCTCTTGAGGTATGGAATATATATTCCTCCTAGATGCTGCCAAAACAGTTAGGCTTAAAGAGCTCCATTTATTTCATATTATTTTTCTTCACTCTTGATCATATTTTTCCTATTTTATTTGCTTGAAGCAAATACTGGCTTGCCACATACATAGCCCCCTTCTCCTCTACCAGTCTGCCAAAACAGCAATCACAAGCATTAGGTTCCTTCACTCCCTGCTTCTGCTTAAACCTTCCTCAGTTGGAGTTTCCTGTCATCATGTTTTAGGTTTGCTGCTACCTACAAATATGACCTGATCTCTCCTCATCTCATTCTGTCCTAATGCCTGCTCTGCAGACAGAAGCGACTGTATGACTTTATTCAACCTCCAAGATTTTTTCTTTTTCTCCTTATCCAGCATGATCCGGGTGTAAAGAAACAGAGTCTGCCTGTCACCTTCCCTGTGCAGGCACTGCCTGAAGAAGCTCTGGAGTCACTTCCACAGCTTTGTGCCTTGAAGCATCAGATGGACAGCACACCAGCCATCAGGGGTGAGAAGAGACCTGATGGCATTCAACAGTAATGCAATTTGCGGACAGAAAATAGTCATCATTCATCAGGGCTTATCACAGGATTTACAGGGAACTGAGTGAAAAAGGCAGCCTGGGAAAACTGTAAAATCTTCTGAGTTAAAATAGCATGAAGGAGAAACAATAGGTGCTCTCTTAACCAAATGCTGATGTATTCCACATAAATTTTGAAAATTATCACTCACACCTTTATCCTACCTTGTTGCCTGAAACACTATAGTTTCTTTAATAACCTGGTTTCTCTTATGCTTTTGCCAGGTGCCTCACTGAATACATTTTTGGTGAGCCCTTTTCACTCTGCTTGCTTAATGGCCTTCTCTGCCTGCTTCTGACCTAGATTCCATTAAAAACATATCCATAGAAAGTACTTTCATGTGGTGCTTTCAAGTTAAACATCACACAAAATAAACCTCAGGTCTAAATTGAGTCCAGATCACTGAGTTTGATTTGAACACTGATAAACTAAAGTTTCTCTGTTTGAGAAGAGCTCAAGTTTCTTTTCTGGATTATTGCCCATCTCTAGTTTTTGAGGTTTGCTGTTGTCCAAGAAAACTGAGAGTTTTGCTGTTGCTGTTAACAAAATGTAACCAACAATAAAAACTAACATACAATCTTCATAGTGCTTTCTGAGAGAAAATTACTATACGTTTGTGCAGCTGGTATGTATTTTAACGCTTAGCTTTATAAAGTAGGTAATTTATTCCAGCTTGATAATTGTTATGAAAAATAAGCATCACAAAACTTTAGAAAAAGGAACAGACAGTTCACACCAACGCAAAAGTATCACATCAGTCTCAATTACTTATCCCAATTTGGTGCTGTGGTAAGTAGCTGACGGGGGTGTCTCTCTACATGGCTCTGAAATAGGTAGAATTATTTCTGTGGCTATCATTAATAGTGTGTAAACCAACATCAAAAGAAAAGAAAGCTCCTAAATGTATCTTTAGTTTTAAAATGTATTGTGATTGCGAAAAATAAACCTAATTACTGGTGCAATCCTGCCTCTCTCAAGGTCAGTCCCAAAACTCTGCAACAGTTCAAATTTACCAATTTTTCCCCTCAGCTATAGAAAATACTAGGACACATGACTATAGAATTATCCAAAATGCTTTATATATATCTGCTTCCTTGCAATAGTTCAGTAGTGCTTTTCACATTCAGTTCAAAGAACCAACTAATAATTGTCATGAGAACCTTTAACTGAACTGTGCCATCAGAGAACATATTGGTTGTCCTGCAGGCTGAAGCAAGACTTTTTAACGTTTTGTAATAGAGAAGCTTCATGTGTTTTTTTAAAATGGTTCACTGATGAGCAAAAATTCATTTTCTTAAGACTTCTTGCTAGAATAAAGGAAAGACGATATTCTGAAATAGGGAATCAAGTGATCAATAATTCTAAATGTAATATTTCACCTGAACCTTCACACCTGCCAATCAGATTTAGACCATTAATCCAAAATTTGCTTCCTGAAGCTGATTTTGTAGAGTCAGAGCACACAATCACAAAACCTGGCAAGAGTAGTTTTGAATGGAATTTTCCAAGGAGTTGGGAGATGTAGCTAAGAATTGTCACCATGAGAAACTGCAGAAACAAAGGCTTCGGAGCAGTTTTGCAGGGCGGGGAAGACTGAACAGTCTCAACCTACTCAATAATTCTGGTTTGGACTTACAGATTCCCACACACTCGTACTTACCAGGCAGCTGCTGAAGCCCACCATCCTAGATGCAAAATATCTGTTATCGTAGGCTGGGAAAAAAAAAAAACAACAGAGATTGTGTTTGCTGTACAAACTCATGCAGACTTTTAAGGCAATGTCAGTCACCTCACAAGGGACTACTGACCACATAAGCAGAACGAAGTCCAGCTCCTTGCTTTGGTTCTTCTTCGGGATCACAGACCGATTGATAGTCATACGACTTGTTAAAGGCATACAGGGACATGTTAATCAGGTTTCGCATCAGGCCAGGATCAATTTCGCCAAAGAACCTTCCAATCTGATGAGGAAGAATTTATGGAGATAAAATAAAGTATTTCCAAGTATCTTTCTGATAAAAAAGTGAACAGTTCTGATTTTTTTTCTGCCACTATTTTTTCTTCTACATAACTCATCCAGTTGTGCTGCTTATGTATTTATTTTTTTGTTTGACTATTTCTCTCCCAAAAGCTTGCTTGGAGAACTCCAGTTACTCAGTAATTGTTAAAGGCACTATCAATGAGACCACCCTGCTTGGGGAAGAACAAGAGGAATACAAGAAAGCAGGTGTGTGGACACCATACTACTTGCCCTCACCCCCGTAGATCCATCAGCAACCTACCAGCCTGTGGGCAGAGCACAAAGAGTGCAGCTTGGTAGAGGTTCGTCATCTTGAACCATAAATAAGACTGTGAAAAAGACTAGCAAAATAACTAGAATTTCTGATGTGGCAATCATTTTGCAATTCAGAAATGTTTTTCAATTTCTGACCTGTTCTTTCAAACTCTGATGGGCACAGCATATATAAATGACAGAAAGATTATATTCTTAGGGTGAGCTGAGAGTGAATGCTCTTTTTTTCTCATAAAACTTCTCCCTGTTGTGCTTCATGTGCTGTACGTAAAAATATACATACCTGTTGTGTATATTCATCTCGATTTGACATCAAAAGAAATCCACCATCGTCAAGGATAACACAGTCCACATGCTATTATAAGAAAGTAAAATATGTTTTGCAGAATTTGTCAAAAGAACACTCTGTAAGAAACTATTTTTTAATCAACACTTCAGAAGTATCTTCAAATCTATGTGGCTCAGGATAAATCACAACCCCATAGCCAAGGGCAAATACTAAGCTATAATAAGTAGCATTATCAGTATTATAAAAGTTTGTACAGATCAAAGGCTTATTTGTGGCTTAATTTCATAAAAGTTGTTTTGTAAATTCTTATTTGCTCAATACTTTGTTAGCTGTAAGAGTGCTATATCCTTATTCAATTTGATTGTAATTGAATCTCAGGTCATAATAAGGGACTACAACTTCTCGTGTGCTTCAGCCATGCTTAAAGTCCTTTTCCATTTGCAGCTTTTAACGGTACAATTCTTAAGGCCAGACTCTCAGCTTGCTAGTCATGCTTATTTTCACTTCCAAGGGCTGTGGTGGGTTTCTTCCAGGTGTCAGGTGCAGAAATGGGAAGCCCACTGGGTCCCTACGGTCCGCACTTTGTAAAAGATCCTTGCAGCCAGAGATTGGAGAGATAGCAGTGAGGCCAAACAGATAACCTCATAGAATACCCTTTTTGCTGCAACTCCTGCATTTAATGATCTTCACGCTCCACAAAAGAACTCACGGAAGACCTGAGCAGAGAAAGCTTTTAAGCACATGGCAGAACCTGATACTGTGACAGCCCCTGAAGCTGTGCTCTCCTGAGTGCTAGCAGAGCAATGGGATCCCCAAATCGTGCACGAGCTGGAAACAGAGGAAAGGAGGATGACTAATGACTGTTGAAGGGCACATTACATACCCCGGTGCTTTTCAGGTTACATTTACTCTTCTCTAAGGTACTCTTCTTCTAGATTTCTTTTTCTCAGATTTTTTAAAAATTATTCTCTTTCCTCAGGATTCTCCTCTTACTCTGAAAGTTACCATTACATGTTTCTCACATGTTTAATCACATCACTCTCTATTGCTCTTACTCTATTCTTTTTCTTCCCTCTAGTTCGCATAACCTCATTGCAATGATTCTTGCAGCAACCACTTCCCCTGACTTTTACACCTTCTTTCACCCCCTCCCCTCCTAATCTTCATATTTTCTCAAGACACAAAAGACTAAGTCCTGTTTCTTGTAAAATTAACCCCCAAATAACAATGAGGGAATAGTTGTCTTAGACCTGGGGAGGAACAACCCCATGCATCAGCACAGGCTTGGGGTGGACCTGCTGGAGAGTAGCTCTGTGGAGAGGGACCTGGGCGTCCTGGTGGACGACAGGTTAACCATGAGCCAGCAGTGTGCCCTGGCTGCCAAGAAAGCCAATGGGATCCTGGGGTGCATCA